CTGCAGGGTCAGCACAGCCCCACCCCAGCTCTGCAGAGCCCAGGCAGGGAGAGCCAGGCCTAGGGTCTCCAGTCCCCTTCTCTGTCCCCAGGCCTCCAAGGTTCTCCCACCAGGAGAAGTCTTTCCAGCTGAGGAAAAGCTGCGCTTGGGGCAAAGGTGTTTCCTGGAGGTGTAATGGGCTCACGTGGGAGGCTGGAGGGGAGAGTTATAAAGAAAAGCATCAATCAGTGAAGATTATGTGGGTGTGACTTTCCTGGAAGGCCTCCTGGGCAGCTCCTCGCCAGGGAGCGGTGAAGAGTTGGCCCTGGCTGGCAACAGTTGGTGCTGGCCTCTAGCCAGCTACTTGCCCAGCTCCTGGTGATCTGTTCATGTTGCATAACCTCTCTCACCTCACCTCCCTCACATTTAAGCCAGGGATCAGAGTAGTATCTGCCTCTTAGAACTTCTGAGGGGACCAAGTGAGTTAATGCATGTGAAGCACAGCAGGTAGAGGGGCCTGGCTCAGAGTAAATGCTCAATAGATACCATTCACTCACTCACTCACTCACTCACTCACTCACTCACCTCAGGAACCATTCTAAGGACATATCAGTGTACAAAACAGTCTCTCTCCAGGGTGGATATTGGGGGAGGAGACAAACCACAAACAAGAAGCAGGATAAATAACTGGATGGAATAGTACGTGAGGAGGTTAAAGTGCTATGGAGAAAAAAAAGTACAGCAGGTTAATTATTACCTTTCCCCCCAGAAATTTGGGTAACTAAACTCTTATTCATGTCTCCTTTCTCAGGAAAAGAATAAGCCTTTTTTTGCCTCAGGCCCTGCCTGACGCCAGCTGCCGTCTCCTCCCAATGTATCCGACACCCATGCCGGTGACGAGGTTTTAGCAGATTCACTCATGTGTTCCTTCAACCAGTAGATATTTATGGAACACCTGATTATGGAATGCTCAACGTGACTCATAGGTTCTCGTCCGGAAGGGTCTTGCAGGCGAGGCAATGGCCGCATGTTGACCAGGCTTTGGAGAAGGGCAGGCAGGTGTGGTGGAGAGCGAGGGGGGGGGGGGCGTGTGTGCCCTGCATGCTGTGCACCAGCCCCCAGTGCCAGCCCCTCTCTGGACCAGGGCTGTTCCACCGCAGCTTTCTTTGGCTGTTTTCTTCTGGTAAGTTGATGGATTTCCCACATTTAGTATTGAAGGAAGGGGAACTGTGCATTATTACTAGAGATATTTTCTAGGTTGGCCTTTGAGCAAAATCAAGGCCTGGGATCCCTCCCCCACCCCACCCCCTCAGAGTGGGAAGGGGTGCTGTGACCATCTGTCCAGCTGGGTGCCCTGCCTGCGATGTTTCTATGCCTCCCAGCCCAATAGTATGGCCTCTGCTGCCCTTAAAGGCCAGCCTGATCCTGGTCGAGCAGTGAAGGGGAGAGAGGCCCCTTGCTGCAGATCCCATGGCTGTGGGAAAAGGAGGTGGTCCCGAAGCCTCTGGGGCGGTGGCTTCTTGAATGCAGAGGAGGAGAGACCCACGTCTGAGGGAGGCGGCTTGGCCACATGGCTAGGAAACCCAGGCCGTGTGTGTCTGACCACAGAGGCCTTGGGGTCTGGAGCTGGGAACAGACCGTTCTCTCCACAGTCACCACTCACATGGACCGTGGTGATCTCGCCTGCGCCCGGCCCCCTCAGCTGCTGAGTCATGCTCCCCGGGGTTCACAGAGGCGCAGCTCCAAAGCAGGCTGAGTCATGAGATGATGAATTGTGAAATTCTTATTCAGGCTGTCACCACGGCAGCAGTGGGCCCTGATCCACACCTCCTGTCCCCCCACACCAAGTTTCTCAAAACATTCTCCCCTCACTTGTCATTCCATCTTCGTCTTGCGGGGGGCCCTGACAGTGAGCACAGGACAGCAGTGGGATCCTGAGCTTCCCTTCTTGAGTCTGGATTCTGGGCCTGTTATAGCGGCAGGGCTCCGGTCTGTTAGCTCAGGGAAGAGCCTCAGATCTCATTTTGTTAACTCATCTGCGAACAAGGAAACGGGAGACTCGCTCGGGATTTAAAGCTGTTTGGAAGGTCGGCTTTGGAGTCAGAATCTAAATCTACTTCGCATGAGCAAGCCTCGCCAGGCTTCCGTGTCCTTGTCTGTCAAGTAATGTTAATGTTCCTCCTGTGCAGGGTGGAGGCTGCGGGAAGTCACAGGGAGGTGGGTGCTCAATAGCTGTCATTTGATCCGTGTTAGACGGGAGCCTGAGGCTGCGTGAGTCAGAAATAAGGACCCGAGGTCTTTCTTCTTCCTACTCAGGACATTCAGAGAGAAGAGGAGCAGGAGAAGAGGGGCTGGGAGGAGGCTTTGGAGACAGATCAGAGGAGATATGGTGGGTTGGGCCAGCAGGCAGATCTTCCTGCAGCCTGATACCTCCCAGCCCTGCAGGGGCCACTGTGAGCTTGCAAATGCTGCATGCTGGAAGGTATTCCCCATGTTCATTTGGTTCCCCCCAAAACAGAAAGCCAGCAGAGACCAGTAGTGGGCACATCTACCCTGACCCGGGCTCCTCACCCAGTCATACCTCACCTGAGTGTTCATGCGTGCAGTCCCGCTGGGTCAGATCGCCTGCTGGCTCCCACCGAGAATTAGCCTGGAAGGTACACAGTGCTGCCGGGAGGGCCCCTCTGCCACAAGCAGGAGAGGCCCAGGACAAGGTGGGACGATGGTGACAATGCCTCCCGAGTATTGGGTTGGCATCTTTGGAGCTACAGCAGGGGTGGCCATGATCTATTCTCCCTTTGCCATCTAGGCCAGGGTGTTAATAGTCCCCCATACTGCCGAAACCGGTTTGGCTCAGTGGACAGAACAATCAGCCTGCTGACGGAAGGGTCCCAGGTTCGATTCTGGTCAAGGGCATGTATCTTGGTTGCGGGCACATCCCCAGTGGGGGATGTGCAAGAGGCAGCTGATCGATGTTTCTTTCATCAATGTTTCTAGCTCTCTATCCCTCTGTCTTCCTCTCTATAAAAAAATCAATAAAATATATTTTAAAAAATATATAGTCCCCCATACCCAGGAACCAGCTGAGAAAAGGTTCAAATTTTTTTAAATAAAGAATTTATTCAGCAACAGAATAAAGATATAAACACAGCTGAAGGAATGAGAGTTGACAACAAAATTTTCAGGCCATTTCAACTAAACGAAATTTACTGGGCTGACACCATAGATAACAAAGCCCCAATTACAATTTCAACCCTTTCTCTCGGCTGAAACGCCAACCGGTTCAAGTGTTGTCCTGAGACAAATCTGGCTGCCTTCTAGAACCTCCCTCAGGCTCTTTCCTGAGTGCCTCCTCCTGCACAGGCCCTTCTCTATTTGGTCCCAAAGATTCCCCACCTGGGGCTTCAGGTAAGGGCCACCCAGACCCTGCCACCCCTTACCCACTCCTGCAGCCAGAGGCATCTATGGTCCCTCAAAGATCCTTTTTTGCTTTTGTCCTGATGCATTTCATTAAACTACACTCACTAACCAGTTGGGTAGGATGGCTCTGCTACCGCTGGTCAAGTTACCAATCTTCCTAAGCCGACATCGGAGCTTGGTCTTCCTCTTGCAAGGAACATTCTCACGTGCTCTCTCTGGCAGCTCTCTGCCCCAGCTAGTCCAAGACGGCATTCTCCCCAAAACAGAACTCTGAGCCCTTGTCCAGTCTCCCATTTAATTCCTGGGATAACTCTAACTCCCAGCTGACCCACCAAAGAGAGATGGTCAAGTCCATTGATCTTGACACCCACCTACCCAGCTCAGGTTACAGACCTCACCAATTTTCTTGGAAGATCTCGATCTCGGACTTCTGCCCCTGTGGAATTTTATCTTTGTAGGTTTATTATATAACATAGCTTTAGAGACACAGTAATAATAAGACTACAATGAAAGGAGAGCTATTCCCTCCCAAATTATATTTTCTCTAAATTATCAAGAGATTTGGCCACTCTCGCCATGTTGAACCTCTAAGAATCTATGGTTATCAGCCCTTCATTAGTACAGTCTGGGTCTCAGCTGGCTTTTACAAATAGCATTGCATCTTAGCAAGCTGGCCATTGGTCCCTCCTGTTCCTATAGTCTCCTTTGTGTTACAATATATAGCGTCTTCAAATAACTGCTGGAATGCAAAATAAAATCTTCTCCAAAGGAAAAAAAAAAGGTAAGTGCTCTATCAAAGTGTTGAGTTTTTACCTGCAATATGTGCACATAACATCCCATTCGAGCTTACACCGACGTATTAGGTTAGAACAAATGAGTTGAGCTTTTTTTCTAACTATTACCTTGGATTTGAGCTTTATGGCATACAAAATACATAATAATTCTACTTCTCACCCAGTCCTCACAACCTTGTGAGGTGGGCATGGTGGATATTGTCCCCGCTTAACTGATGTAGAAAATCTGAGGTTCAGAGAGGTTAGGGAGCTAGACCAAGGTAACAGTTAAGTGGAAGAGCCAGCACTCAACCCAGGTCTCTGCTTCCTCATTCACCGTTTTAGGTGCAAAGTACTAGTGTATGAAAGAGGTTTCCTTACTCCCTTTCTCCCTACCAGAATGAATGGCATTCTCCTTCGCCAGTACACGCACAGCTGGAGATTTCCAAACAGGAAAAGGAATGATTGATCAAGTTAATTGTCGTGGTCCATTTAGGGTGGGGGGCATATCTTTCACAATGTTCCTGATTGCTTAAGATCTGTAGTTTAGCCAAAACAGGTTTGGCTCAGTGAATAGAGTGAAGGCCTGCAGACCGAAAGGTCCCAGGTTCAATTCCGGTCAAGGCCATGCACCTGATTGATGATTCTCTCTCATGGCTGTTTCTAACACTCTATCCCTCTCTCTTCCTCTCTGTAAAAAATCAATAAAAAAGAAAAAAAATAAAAATTAAAAAAAAAAAAAGATCTGTAGTTTAACCAATAACTCTTTACTCGCTTCTGAGTGGTGCTTTCTGTGGGTTTCGTTAAGATTCCCAGGTCACGGTTAAGATGCTGGGGATTTTACCTCTAAGTTGGCTCAATGCTATCTCCCATCTATTTCACATTTTGCCAGTGTTCTGTGCCTTCCCACCCCCACCCCTTAATGAGAAAAATTTAGAATTTCTGTCAATCTTCCAATGCCTGGCTTTCCGGGATGCTTACAGCTTCCTGAAAAGTCATGTGGCTCCTGTATGTCTGGAGCATCGGGATTTTCTTCTTGTAGTCAGGTGGCAATTCCTCTCTAAAGGTCTCTATTCCTGGTTTCCCTCCTGGGCGAGCGGCTTGGCTGGAGCCATTTCACCAGCCAGGTCCTCGGCATTATGGTTCCCGTACAGCTCTGGAGAGCTGCTGCTCCAACCTGAGGATGTAGGATCCCCAGGTCCCCCTCCACACACATAAGCAGGACACCCCAATCTCAACTCTTTTGTGACTGGGAGCTGAGCCACGCCATCCCACTGTCCCCTCCCCAAGCATATGGTGGACAGTTGTCCACAGTGTCCCCCTGCTGGAGACTTCCCATAAGCCAAAGTTTTGGACAACTTGGTTGGATAGGGCTATGTCATTTAAGGTGACAAATCTCCGGTACCTTACCACTTCCCATCCCCTTTCACAGATATTAATTCACTTCACACGTGTGACTGAGCACCAACTATGAGCCAACATTTTGTTTACTCTGCAAATAGAGCTGCAAAGACAGACCCTTCCCACCAATGCAACTCATCCTACACTAGTTGGTTCCTTGGAACCATCACTTGGCTTCCCGTTGGTCTGAATTAGTTGGCAAACTCAACAAGATCTACTGCCTTCTGACCACTCCACAATGATCTCTCTTAGCTCGAGAGCACTGACCTCGGTTACCCTTCCCAGAGGGTTCCTTGTCAGTCACCAGACAGACCCCTGCTCTGATGGCCTTTCTCCCTGCCACGCCCAGCCAGCTGGTACTCTCCCTCTTCTATCCTGCCCCTCTTCTATCAGAACAGACTCATTTGTGCTAAGAGACATATCCATTCGTAAATCCGGTAGCTATTCTTGAATATCATTTATAGAGGTGTATTTTTAAAGTAAATATCCAAGCATATATGTTACTTAATGGACAAAAATAACTAAGTAGCAATGTGCATATATGATTAACAACCAGCACAAAATAACTCATAAAGAACCCAATCTCCCAAATCACTTGACTATTTACATATTTTGAACCTATTTCCACTCAGTAATGATTCAGACATACTTTCATCTTGTTGTGATCATAATTCAAATTTTTCCCCCTTATGATTACATCACATAACATATTCTTGTAAATAGTTCTCATAGTTAGCATATATGAGGGCAGTAGCTCATTGTCCTAACAGACCACACTCTGCTTAGCTGTCCCCCACAGCTGAGCAGTTTCCAGTCAAGACTGTAATTTATAGGGTGGCCACAAATATCTCTGTGCAAATATTTTTTTTCCTTTTGAATTATTTTCCCAGAACATACTCCCCAAAGTGAGATAACTGAGTCTTATAGTCTTTTTTTTTTTGGACTCTTGTCAAGAATTGCTAAAATTCTCTCCAGGAAGCACGTTTTAGAGTGCCAGGAGCCTGTTTCTCCACGACATATTTTCAAAATGTATTTCTGACACACGAAAGCAGCTGACCTTTAAAAATCGTTTTGCTTAGTAGTCTTGGCCTGTGCGTGTTTCCTCCTGGGCACACGGCCTGTTTGGTCCTCGGACCAAGTAAGATACGTTGGTCACTGCACATATGCAGGCTCAGCTCTTACTCAGATCAACTCTACAGATGCAGTTTTCTCATCTGACTGGTTTTTAAAATCTTCATTCTTTGCTGTACACATTTCAATTTTTATGTAATTGAATTTGTTCACCTGGCCTTGAAGATTTTCCCCAATAAACAAGCAATAACCTCCCCTTCCCCACGCTCTGTGCTTTCCACTTGGACTTGTCCTAATCCCCCTGGCTCCCCCCGAACACTCCGTTGTCCATGATCCTAACATTACGATTCCCTAGGTCATCGCGCGACAGCCCCTGGCTGAACGCACCCACCTCCGTGCCACCACTGCCATGACTCATGCGAAGAACCTGTGGCTGTGGTTCACCCCCAACGAGGTCCTTCCCCCCGGTTTTCACTCCTCCACCTTCCTCGCCCCGCTACCACCTTCTTAGGGTTTCCAGACATCCGTCTCCCCAATCCCACAGCAGGCCTCTGGGGCTGGGTGTTGGCCCCGGCAGCAGTGGCCTACCGAAGGACACACTCCCTCACCCTGTAGTTCAACCAATGAACACCAACATTTCTCCAAAGGAATTTTGCTGGAAAACTAAGAGGAAACTAAAAATAGACTCCAGGAAATGTAAAGATATAAACACAGAAGAGATTTTACATCCTACGTAAGTCTTGGCTCAGAGGTGGGTGGAGGGGGGCCTCGGGGGTCCCCTTCTCTCACACTCAGAACCCTGAGGAGCAGACTCGGACCTGCCAGGCTGTCTGCTAGCAGCGTTCTCTGTGTGGACTCTGAGGTCAACGCCTCTTAGTCCAGGCTGGCGCCTGCCCTTGGGAGCCCATGAAGCCCACCCCATAGGGCACCAGGGAACGCCATGGTCAGAGAAGCCTGCACTCCTGTGGGAGACGCCATTAACTGCCGTTTCAAAACCCCAGGCCTCTTCCAACCTGGCCCTGGCATGTCCCCGTTCCAATCCGGGGAGAGCCTGACACACCCTGAGACCCTCTGCCCACCTCCCCAAGACTCCCACTGGGCTCTTCCACCAGGAGTCATTTTTTCTCCCCCCGAAGAATGCTAATTAGGACAAGCTTACAAATCTCAGCGACTTAAACTATAACAACAGTAGCAGAGGGGGTGGCGGTGGTGGTGGTGGGGGCAGTCACCCACAAAAAGCAAGAGGTGGTTCTCCCAGCACCCTGCCCATCCCTCCTCCTCTGCTTCTGAGGGCTTCGGCCATGCCCCAAGCCTTGGTCCCTATCTCTGCTCACCCAACAAGGGGCTGGCAGTGTGGCACGTTACATGGAAAGGTTGCTAACACCCGCCCTCTGGGAAAATGCCCTCGTCCGCCATCTCCCATGATAACCCTGCCTCCCTCCTCCTGCCCGCTCCCTCCCAATCCCACCCAGCTCCACCCCAGTCCCAGCCCCTTAACTGTCAGGAGAGCGGACCCGAAAGATGTGTATGGTCCCATTACTGAGGGACACGACCAAGTACCTGCCGTCCACCATGGTGGTCACCCGGGGCTTTTCCAGGCCATGGTAGGCCGTCAGGAAGTCGCCTAGCAGCGACCCCTTCGGGTCCAGGATCACCACCTTGTTGACCTCCCGGAGAGTCAAAAAAATATAGCCCTTCTTATCCACAGACACGGAGCCTGGCTGGCAGCCGTGCAAGCCCGGCCCTCCGTACTCCCCGATCACCTGGCCCAGCCCGTCACAGACCACCACACTGTTCTGCTGCCAGTCTGACCCCACGAAGTTGCCCTGGGGACTGGCGGCCAGAAACACCAGAGCCCGCAGGCCGCGGTTGGCCTTGCCCCCGGGGATGAAGCGGGTGGCCAGGCTGCCCTCCATGTTGTACACCTCCACGTGGCCCGACACGCTGACGGCCACCCGGTCCCCGCTGGGCATCGCAGCCACCGCATGGCTGGCCTGGGACAGGCTCAGCGCCCGGCGCCACTGCACCTCCCCGTCGGGGCTTATGAGGTACAGCCGAGCCCCCGCCGAGAAGGCCACCGCCCCCTGCAGGGCGGCCACGCTGCACGGGGAACAGCCCTCGGGGACGGGAATGGCGCCTTTGTAGTCGCCGTTAAGCGAGAAGCGCTTCAGAGCCCGGTTCTGCTCGTCGGCCACCAGGATCTCCCGGGGGCCGAAGGGACAGAGCCCGGTGATCCGGGGAGACCGCTTGTCTCCAGGCATCCGCGTGGGAAAGCTGCAGGAAAAGATGGGCCTGGGCAGGAGCCCAGAGCCCTCCAGGTTGGGCCCGGGCGCGGGGCTGGGCTCCCGGGAGATGGACTTGAGCCTGCCTTTGAACTTCCTCTTCTTGTTGGATCTGCCGCCCCCTGCAGTCTGGACTTCTCCATCTTCCTGGGGCACCTGGGATCTGCCTTCTCTCGGGGTCTGGGCTCTGTCCGCCTTTGGGGTCTGGGCTCCGTTTTCCTGGGGCACCTGGGCTCTGTCCTCTTTGGGGGTCTGGGCTCCATCCCTACTCTGGGGCTGGGCGGCACCTTGTCTCTCCATCTTGGCCCCATCCTCTCTGTGGCCCTGGGCTTCCTCTCCTCCCTGGCTCCCGGCTCCCTCTTTCCCACTGTCCTTCTGGGACTGCTGGTTCTCGAAGGAGAGCCGCAGCAGGTGGCTGTTCTTGTCCAGGAGCCCCGGATGGAGCTCCAGCTGGGGCAGCGGACAGGGGGCTGGCCCAGGCACCCAGGGGCAACCCTGCAGCTGCCGGAGCCTCTGGGCGATCGCCCCCTCCAGCGAGAGTATCTCGGCCTCACGACCCAGGCTGAGCACCCGGCGGGCAAAGGCGGCCGCGGCTCTGGCCACCTGCTCCCGGCTCTCCAGCTCTCCCAGCCTTTCCCGGGCGGCCTCCTCGGCAGCCTCCACGTGGGCCCGCAGCTGCCCCAGCACCTCCTTCTTCTGGGCCAGGAGGGCCCGGAGAAGCCCCTCGGCAGCCTCCTCCACCTGGGCGCCCACCCTGGCCGCTTGCTCCCGCAGGCGGGCTAAGGCTCCCTTCTCCGCCGCCCGGGCGGCCTCCAGCTCCGCCAGGTTCTTGTCCACGCCCGCGAGCAGCTCCTCGAGGCCCGGCCTTCGGGCGCGCACAGCTTCGGCCAGGGGCAGGCAGGGGTGGTCCAGGTGGGGGTCCAGGCGACACTCCCGGCACAGGAGCTGGGAGCAGGGCTGGCACAGGAAGCGCAGGGCCTCGCCCGGGTGCTGGGGGCACTGGGCCGCCTGGCGCTCCCGGGCCTCCTCGTCATACCACCCCGCCCGGTAGCCCACCAGGTCCACCACCCGGTGGGTGTGAGTCTGCCGGGTGCAGCGGTGCCCATCAGCACAGGCCTGGCACAGGTCATCAGCACAGTCTAGGCACCGGGCCGTGGCCGGCCCTCCGGCACTCGCACCCCCCATCAGGGGGCACAGTGCACAGGCTGGCTTTCCCGCATGCAGGTCTCCGCCGGCCCGAGCCCTCACCAAGTCCAGGAGCCCGTTGACAAAGAAGTTGGTCTTGAAGGCAGCCACGCCGGCTGGTGGGACTGGCACGGTCTCGCGGCACTCAGGGCACCGGAGGTGGCCGCCCTCGGCCAGCTGAGCGAGGCAGTCCTGGCAATAGGTGTGCAGGCAGGGCAGGGTCTTGGGTGCCCGCAGCTGCTCCAGGCAGATCTTACAGGCCAGGAAGTCGCTGCTCAGGGCCTCTAGGAGGGAGGGCGAGGATCCTTGGGACACCATGCTGTGAGCCAAGAGTCTGAGTTAGAGCGCAGAGCGCACCCCCAGCCTGCCCTCCTGCCTCTCCCCACTGGGACTGCAGAATCACCTGAGTGGCCAGGAATTCCCCTCTGGTCTCCTCAGTTCTCTGGCCATTTGCTCTGGAGCCAGGGAGCTGCCCTCCTCCTTGCATACATTCAGCAAATATGAAAAAAGTCAGTGCTGCTCGCATGTGTGAAGAGATGTAAGAAATGACAAGACCGAGAAGAGAAACCCCTGGCCTCCGAGAGCGAACCGAGTAACCACAGGCCTTGTGGCAAGGGTGGCCCAAGCCCCCTGTGAACAGGTCCTGGGGACCCTGCTGGGGCCGAGGTGCTGGGGTGGGGGGCACACAGCCAAGGCCCAGGTGGGCGGAGCTGCCTTGACTCCTGGCGTTTGGGGCAGCGTCAGGGGCTCGGATTTCCCTGGCGCATACCCCTGTCTTCAGGACCCTGGGAGTGGCTTCACGGGGACTGGGGGCCCCACTTCACACCCTGACGCCCTGCAATGGGGTCTGCAGCAGGCAGCAGGGAGGCCCAGGGGAAGGGGCTGCCCTGCCCTCTCCTCCCAGCCGCTGGGCCTGGGGGTCTCAGGACCCTTAGCCCCAACTCCTAGCGCCCCCTCTTCTTCCAGGCTTTCCTACTGCAGGAGGCCCTCTGCCCTCCCAGGACCTCTGCGGGCCTGAGATGCGTGAGGTCCATCTGGGAACCCTCCCAGCTCCCTCCCGACAGCGGGGAACTGCAGAAGGGACTTGGGGAATTTCCCCCAAACTTCCGGAAAGTGTTGGCCGGGGGCAGAGCTCCGAAGGCGGGAAGGGGACTCCCCCAGGGAAGCCTCGGGCCTCTGGTCCCGTGGGGTGCAGTGGGGGGTGCTCCCGCCCAGCCCCCCCTCTCGGCCTGACTTCCGGGTCCCTCTCTCCGCCTCCCCCCCTTCCTCTTCCTCCCGCACCCTCCCTCCCTTCCCCCACCCCCTGCAGGTGAGCGCGCCCCTCCGTGCCCTCCCGGCCCCTCCCTACCTGGCCGGGGCGGACCGTGGGCGCCAGCACCCGGAGCGGGGGGCCGAGGCCTGGACGCGGCGGTGGTGGCGGGGTGCCTGCAGGAGAAACAAAACTGAAAGTAACTGTACTTGAGCAACTTCCGTCCCAGCCCCGGGACACCGACCAGCTCAGCCCAGGCCCCGCCCTCCTCCCCACCCCGTCCTCTTCCTGGGGGGCCCCACCCCGTCCCAGCGCGGCCCCCTGGGGGCTCCGGGCCTGCGGGTCAGCTGTGGCCTCAGGGCTTGCTCCTGGAGCCAGGCGTGTTTGCTCCTCTGAGGGGAGAACGTGAGAGACCTCCTGTGATTCAGGCCCGTCCTCAGGCCGGATTCCAGGGCTGCAGCTTATCTGCCCATCCAGCCCCGGGGGAGGCCCTGGGTGCCCTCACCTTCTGCTGAGCCAGGGGGAGCCTGTGGGAGCCAGATAAGGGCCCTCCGCCTGAGGGCTCGGGCCCAGGCTTCCTGGAGGAGGTGTTCCTGGAGATGAGTGTGAAGAGAGACCAGGGGTTTGGGGGTCACTGGAGAGGAATGCAGGGAAGAGTGTTCCGGGAAGAAGGAACAGCAAGGGCGTGGCCAGCAGAGGAATGAAATGGCACAACTCTCCCAGGCGGCTCTGAGGAACCTAGGATGGTTGGCGGGGAGGGGACAGATGAGGGGGGCCCATGAGGTTGTAGAAGGAGGCAGCATGGCCAGATCATAAAGGGCCTTATGAAGTGGAGTCTTGAGTTTCATCCAAAAATCTAAAGGAAATCAGTGAAATATATTTCCCCCAACATCGTATGAAAAATGTGAAGCACAAGGAAGTTGAAAGAATTATAGCAAACCCTCCTATACTCACTGTTTGGAATCTGCAGTTCACATATTTACTACAGTGATTGATGGATTGATTCATCATATATCTATTCAGGTACGCACCCCTCTATCCGCAATGACAGGATTTCAGCAGGAAACCCAACTGAGGAGAGCTCACTCAGTAGCTGAGAGGAGAGCCTGACCACAGGGCCCGAGGGGAAAGTGTGCGTGTGGCGGGGGTGCGGGGGCAGGCAGGGTCTGAACGGACCCTTGGCAATAGGGACAGAGAGGACGGAAACCCCACATGTAAATTACCGTGGAAGGCAACGAAGCCACGGGGCTTTGGCCAGCCCCGGGAGGGAGGCAAAGGACGGAGGGCAGGATGCCCACAGGTGTTGTAGGTCTAGAGGTCAGGAGGGTGGGCCAGGCTGGTGAGGTTTTCATGCATCTCCCTATGGTGTGTGCCTGTGGTTTGGAGGAGGTCACTCGGCAGTGCCCAAAGGAGAGAACAGGGCTGAGATGGCACGATGGGGAGCAGAGACATTTAAGGTAAGGTGACCAGATCATCCCGCTTTTGGTCACCTTCATTAAGGGCAAGTGGGGGAGGGGTTGGGGCTTGCCGAGTCAGAAGCAGTTGCTGGAGGGGTAGGCGGAGATCCAAGAGGAAGATCACAGAAGGCATAGCTGGAGAAGGACCAGTGATGAGGAATGCTGCAGACCAGGATGCCAGCCAAGATGAGGACAGAAAAATATGTTGCCATGGGTGTGCCCGAGTGCATGCATACACTGCACAGGTGCATGGCCTCTGCGTGTGCTTGCTGTGCACATTCAAGAACATTCGTTGAAAGCCTGATAGATTAAATAGAGAAGGGGACCGGAGACCCATATGGCAGGACACAGGCTTTATTGGAGGGAAGAGTACCCCTGCTGGCTGCTTCCAGAAAGGGGTGGAAGAGAGGGAGGGCCGGGGTACAGCACCTTTAAGGATAGGGGACGGGGTTTGGGGTACTCAGCACACGCTGATTAGTGATTAGGGACCTAGGGACTTAGGAATCGGGGGCTTAGGGTATTTGGCAGGTGCTGATTGGTGGTTCAGAGCTCAGGAATGTCTGGCTGCAGGTGGGGTTTATGTCTGCTCATTAATTGGAGGAAGGGAGGATCTATCAAAGCCTACTATGGATAGTGTGCCATGCACTGTGGAATATTCAAAAAGAAACAAGATATGCTCCCTGACGACAGTTTGCAATCTAAAAGGGGAGGTGCAATATGTACATGGTGGAATATGAGACAGTAAGACAAATGTCATATTAGGATGCCAAATGTCATATTAAGATGTCCTTCTGTTGGGTATTTAGCATGAGCTTGACATGGGGTGTGGTAAACATACCCTGATTCAATCCTCACAGTAACCTGGTGAGATAAGTATCATTATTGCCTTCGTTTTACAGGCAAGGAAACTGAGTTAGAGAGAGAAAAGGTGATTCACTGGAGGAGGCCACATAAAGTGCTATGCCGACCTGAACGAAGGAGAGCTTGTTTGCTCCCGGAGTGGTGGTGATGGTATAGAAATCAGGAAGGCTTCTCGAAGGAGGAGACTGTACATTTACTGCCCTACCCTGCCTCCCTTAACGTTGGACAAAGCTTAAAGGGCCGACGGTGTGTGGCCAGACCCCAGGATTATAGAAAAGGCTCCTAAACCAAGTGATCACTCAAATCCAGTTCATTGATAAGCATTACTGAAACGGAACAATCAATGGCTCTGAGCTGCCTGTCATGACTTGAGCCGATGAAGCAGAGACAGCATTGAACCATATGTGAGCGTTTATTCCAATAATGCAAGCAGGTAATGGGAGAACAGCAGGTCACCCACAAAATTTGCTCCTTCCTGCCTCCCCCCCCCCCCCAATAAGCCAGCTGTTTATATTGGGTAGAAGGACAAAATTACATGGGGAAGTAGACAAAAGAGTAAGAATGGGTATGGAAAATGGGCAGTTTACAGGCAGTGTGGGCTGGGGGTTGCCAAAGCCTTGGGGTACGCAAGGGGCTGGTGCCTCTGGGTTCTGCAACGAGGTTGTTAATCTTTCCATGGTAACTGGCAGCTCCTGGATGCAGAGAATGGGCTGAATTTCCAGGTGAGCTCCCTGGTCCGTGTGACAGTCTAACTCAGTGCCTGGAATTCCTTTGTAGTAAGATATGCAGACCTCCCTCCAGACCTGGCTAGGAGATTGGCGTCATCAAAACAGCAGCATCCTACTCTTCTGTTTGAAGTCAGAACAGACATTCTGCATGAGGCAAAAACAGGCCAGGTTGTGTAAACTACCTGAGAAATAGCTCAGGATGCCCAGGTCTTTGTCCTGAGGGGCCAACCTGGGAGTGATATACCAACATTGGGAGGGGTGGGGAAAAAGAGGTATAAGAGGAGGGACTGCCCCTCCATCGGGGCTCTTACCTGGGTGTTTACCGGCTGCTGTGTCAGCCAAGGTTTGAGCCCGGATTCGAATCTGTAATAAACTCTAGCATGCTTAATCAAATTGGCTCCGGTGGTTCATCTCTTGGGGACGCGCTTCGTAACAGTCCGCCCCCCCCACGCTCCCCCCTGCAACTCCCGACCACGTTTGGAATGTGCATTCTTTAATCAGAACAAAACAATCACGGTTAACATAGCATGATTAATATTTTTTATAATTATAGCTAGTCCCCAATAGTCAATGTTTGCCTCTGACATTACCATGGAGACATGTGCAGGGGAGAAGGAATTGGGGGTAGGGTGGAAATAGTTGCTGGAGGCTGAGGGCACCTCAAGATGACTCTGGGGGAAGGTGGTTGGTCTGGTTAGAATGCTGTTGGGTGGAGAGTAGGAATTGACAGTTGAGCAGGCAGAACAAACTAAAATTTCCTGTTTAGAATCCTCAAAGGCCTCAGGTCATAGGGAGGCATTACAGGATTTGGAAAGCTTGGACTTTGTTCTGAAGTTAATTGGGGGTGTTGGGAGTGTTAGCAAACGTTTTTTAATCTTAATTTACATAAATAATAAGGGTAATTTAAAATTCATTATAAATACATGCCATTATAACAAAATATTTTTGTGTATATTTCCTTTGTTCACTATCCACATGAAATATATTTTACATAATTGTATTTGTAGTAAATGTTAGGTCTGA